GACTCTATTCGATTCCTGAGAATTTTCGCGAGGAATCCTGACTATATCCTGCCGACCAGGGTGGAACGAACCACGAGATGATGAACGCCTGCGCGTACCTGGACCAAGTGGTGAACGAGACCCTCCGGTTCTATCCCATCGCCACTCGGTGCGTCCGAATCACCCTCAACGACTATTCCTTTCGCTTCTTTTTTTCAAATTGTTTAGTCGGGCAAGAGGATGGTGATGTTACGTTATTTGGCGTAGTATCTGGAGAGATTCAAATATGTATTCCTGAAGCGCAAGTAAATTGGCATCAAGATGAAACTCGATGAGCGGATATCAATTTAAAGCTTTTTATTGGAGGAGTATAAATGCTCAATTGTTCTATGAGAACGGGGCACTTTATGCCTCGAATTTTCCCTTGAAATTTTCTTAAAGTTGTTTATATCTCTAATGATTTTTCTAAAAATTAAGGTTGGTAAGAGGAGGAGCCAAACCTGAGCCAACTTTCTTAACTGAGAATTTTTGTGATGGGGGACACCCAAAAGTATGCTTCTGATAACATCATCGACACTTGGATCAATTTGATCTTATGGGTACTTGACTCGATTTAAGGCTTAGGGAATAATATTTTCTTTGACTCTCATGCACCAAATAATTAGGCATAGACGTTTTTAATTGAAAAAAATTATTTGGAATACATATTGTGATGAATGTCGCAGGCTCGAACGGGTATGCACCAAGGACTGCATCATGGATGGGATGGAATTCAAGAAGGGGGATCTCATCTGCTTCCCAATCTACGCTGTTCATCATTCGCTTGAATACTATCCCGATCCTGAAGTGTTCGATCCAGATCGGTTCGACTTTCCGTTTCTCCACCTCCCATTGCCCGATATGGATGCTTGCGACTGCGAACTCCGCCAATAATTCCCTTTTTTCTATTTTCTTTTGATTCTGTGTTGGTGGGTGGGTGAGTGGGTGGGTGGGGGAGTGCAAAATTGGCCTTCACTTAACACCGAGTCTTTGGAAGCTCGCGTCATATATAGCTGTCACTTGCTCAACACACCGCCAACAGGCTGACTGCAGGGATCAATCTAGAGAGATTTAAAAAAGAAATTAATCGTTGGGAATTGCGAGGGAAAATGAGAAAACTGGAGTTAAAGAAATAATTGACCCATTAGGAAAATATGTTATATCTGCAAAAGTTATTCATAAGCGTTGGATGGACCATATACTTGACTGTGTTCATCCTGTGATGAGAAGTTTTTTTTTTATTTTCACGATAGTAACTGTATGTAAATATACGGTATAAATTGTTCCATTCTCATGGTTTCAAAAAGAAGGATTTGATCGGTCTACATTAAAAGGATAGAATATCCAATTTAGAGATAATCATGAAGTACGAACCTGAATGGGTAGACTTTCACCTATTCCAAGATTTTGTCCTCTTACAATTTACAAGCAGACCTCTCTTCTCTCCCCTCAATTAAATGAAAGAATAAATAAAGTGAACCACACAAAGGAATGCCGTCATGTACCCAGGCAGCACGCCCACGTTGGGCCAACGTGGTTCCCACGCGTGCAATGTCGACCCAACGTTGTGTCCTTGTAGATTTGTCTCTCGGCCCCACGTTCGACCAACATCAGACGAAGAGGAGAGGCCCGGAGTAAGCTTCTATAATTATTCAGGGCTGTTCATAGTTTGAAACCTCATTCGGCAGTACACGGATTGTCAAATATCAGGCGTTTGCACCGTCATACCAATCCGCTCCAGTCACCTGATATATAATGGTCCTTAATACTGGAAAGCCGATAAATTTGGATTTGGAAAACAATGCCGAATATTTAAACCTTTTTAAAATCATGTTCAATATGTTTCTAGGTTTTTATTCTCAACTTAGACAAAGGCTCTGAAAATGATTGAAGTTTTCGTGAATTGATGCATAATCCTAATAAATCCACTCAGTCCCTATGAAGTAGACGTATTTGCTGGAATGATAAAACTCTCTTCAATTAGAGGTAAATTCACGGTACACCTGCGCCAAACGAATCTCGAGAACTGTGGTTCGAATCCGCTTTGGAATGAAACTCATTGTTTCATAGGTTTTCACCGGAGAAGAAGTCGAAGATCCCACAAGGAGCCTTTCTTCCGTTTGGAATTGGCCCCCGGAACTGCATCGGGATGAGATTTGCACTCGAAGAGGGGAAACTGGCACTGTGCCACCTCATCCATTCCTTCCGTATCCTCAAATGCGCGGAAACACCTGTGAGTTCTCGTGCCAAAACTACGAGGCTACCAGAATTATGCAATATTGCCTACACATCCCAGAATTCACTATTGGCCAATCTGCCTTGAAAGTGAAGAACCCTCTTTTTTGTTCGGTATGTGTGGATATAGTGATAGGAAGGCAATGCACATGAATGTGCTCAATCTTTGAGATTCTCCGAGTGTCTCACGAGACCATCACGACCTGGAAATAATTGTTCGCTGATGACATTTTGGACAACAAGAAAGCGGCGAGTCATGGAAGCACTGATCGGTCGACGCCACCGAACCAGGCTCGGACCGTCCCCGGCTGTCAGACATCGCACAGAGTCGACGAGAGTCGTTTCATCAAATGTAAATGCTGATGATTATTTTAGAGATGACGTTAAGTCGTCCTTCTAACGAAGCGATTTCTATGGATGACTCGTCGGAAATTCAAAGTCTTCGGACGGACTTTTTCCCACTTACTCCCATCAGGCACTGATCGCCATCATCGATCAGTTCGATCGCTTCATGATCGTACCGATCGACGATGGAAACCATCGAAAAATGTCGTGAAAATATCGTCAAAGTTGCAGGTCGACCTGAAAACGCTGTAAGAGCGACTTCCTAAGCCTTCTGCATTCATCGTGCAATTTTGAAGTAGTGGAAGCGGTCCCGATCATACCAACAAGCAATTCGTCCACGAATGCAAATGCTCAATCTCGCCTTCACTGCAGGTGCCTCTCAAGTTCACTCCGGGAGTCCTCATGCTCATGCCCGACAGGACCAGCCCGATCAGAGTCAAACTGGAGAGTCGAATCTGATGGCGGCGAGACTCCTCGGGATCACTTGGGCGATTTTTCATGTGCTTCCTTGCTTTGCTTCGAGAAAGATGGTGCATGCTTTGTCCTGGAATTTGCGTGATTTGGAGAATAAAATTATTATCATGAGGTGGTTCTCTCGCTCTCTCGCGATTCGTGAGGAAGAGGTGTGAACGTCGCTCCTTTCACTGTCTGCACATTTCAAGGTTTTATGCTTGATTTCGAAGTCGTTATTTGCCATGGGATCCGAGGATATTTTAACGCTTTTAATGGCCTAAAGATTAGGGGTGGATTTTTGAACAGAGCATTATCCGATAATGCTGCTC